TTTCCTTGATCAACCCAAAAAGATAATTTTCTTCTCCTCACCAGTGTTATTAATGTATAACTCATTATATTCATGTATATATAAAATTATATATATACACACACAACATATGTTTTCACATATGTAGACATTGTAAAATTATTAAATCAAGCTAATTAGAATTTTTAATAGTAAAACTGCTCTGGTGATAAAAAGTGATAGCTAATACAGAATATCTTTCAAATTTTATAGACTATTAAAAATAGTTTAATACAGGGGCGGAGCCTATAGCTCAGTGGGTGGGGCACTGGTCCTATGTACTGAGCGTAGCAGGTTCGAACCCAGCCTCGGCCAAACTGCAACAAAAAAATAGCTGGGCGCTGTAGTGGGTGCCTGGAGTCCCAGCTACTCGGGAGGCTGAGGCAAGAGAATCACCTAAGCTCAGGAGTTGGAGATTGCTGTGAGCTGTGATGCCACAGCTCTCTACTGAGGGTGACAAAGTGAGACTCTCTCTTAAAAAAAAAGTTTAATACAGCTGGGCACAGTGGCTCATGCATATAATCCCAGCACCTTGGGTGGCTGAGGCAGGAGGACTGCTTGAGGCCAGGATTTCAAAACCATCCTGAGCAACATAGCAAGACCTCTTCTCTACAAAAAGACAATTAAAAAATTAGCCAGACATGACGGGGCTTGCCTGTGGTCTCAGCTACTGGGGAGGTGGAGAGAAGAAGATCACTTAGCCTAGGAGTTTGAAGTGAGCCATGATCATACCACTGGACTTCAGCCTGGGTGACAGAGCAAGACACTGTCTCTAAAAAATAAAAATATATGTATTTTAATACTTTTAAGTTTATTCTAAGGTGTTTTTTTTTTTTTTATTTGAGACAGAGTCTCACTTTGTTGCCCTTGGTAGATTGCTGTGGCATCATAGCTCATAACAACCTCAAACTCTTGGGCTCAAGTGATCCTCTTGCCTTAGCCTCCTGAGTAGCTGGGACTACAGGTGTCCACCATGACACCAAGCTATTTTTAGAGATGGAATCTTGCTCTTGCTCAGGATGCTCTCGAACTCCTGAGCTCAAGCCATCTACCTGCCTTGGCCTCCCAGAGTGCTAGGATTATAGGTATGAGCCACCGCACCCAATAGTTTATTATAAGTTGTTTTTTTTGTTTTGTTTTGTTTTTTGTAGAGACAGAGTCTCACTTTATTGCTCTTGGTAGAGTGCTGTGGCATCACAGCTCACAGTAACCTCCAATTCCTGGGCTTAGGTGATTCTCTTGCCTCAGCCTCCCAAGTAGCTGGGACTGCAGGTGCCTGCCACAATGCCCAGCTATTTTTTTTTTTTT